CGCGGAACAAAATCTGTATCAATGATCTATCAATTGACCGCTCGAGTACCAGAGTTGATCACACAATCCCATCTTGAAAAGAATGAGGCATGGACAACGTATTGGCTCCCAATCTTCCAGTCCCTCAGTACACAATGCACCAACCCTTGTCGTGAGATCCGGAATTTGTCATTCGGCTTCCTTAGACAATCGCTTCTATCCCCTGAGCTGACGTCTGGTGACCACCAAGAGTGGACCGCCATCTTTGGCGACGTCCTATTTCCACTCATTGGAAGGCTGTTGAAGCCCGAAGTGTTTCAGGGTGATCCCAGGGGAATGAGTGCTACGAGAGTGCAGGCCGCCACCCTGCTGTGCAAGATATTTTTGCACTACTTGGTGATGCTGAGTGAGTGGGAGGGCATGTTGGATTTATGGCTCAGAATTTTGGACATTATGGATCGATTGATGAATAGTGGACAAGGCGATCATTTGGTTAGTCCCCTCTCTCTTTTCTCACTCTTGATGATAGTACTAATTAATGAATAGGAGGAGGCTGTACCAGAATCATTGAAGAACATACTTCTTGTCATGGCAAGCAGCGGGTTCTTGGTCCGTCCAGATTCCGGGGGACACCAGGGTGGGAATAAGGAACTTTGGGATCAGACTTGGAAACGATTGGAGCGGTTCCTGCCAGATTTGAAAGAGGAGCTTTTCCCTCCTGAGCCGGAGAAGCTAGTCATAGTCGAGAAGGTCAAGGAACCGGAGGTGGAGGTGAAGGAGGAGGAGCCCGAGAAGGTGCCGGAAACTACGGACACGGCACCACCACTGGTAGAGCAGAGTGATTCGGCGGATATCGATTGAGGAAACATGTAGAGCGGAATATAGACAAGCATTAATTATTGGGTTGGATTGGATCGGATTGGGTTGGACTGGTTGGTTCAGTGGTGGCGGATATGTTTCAAGACTTTCAGTTCAATGATCTTAAAAGTAATGTGATGCCGGCATATGATTCTTTTATCTTTTCTGTTGTATGATAGAGCAGCACATTTGACAAGTCACGAATTTTGGTTGCGTACGCCTGCACCGTTAACGTTGCGCCAGAACCGCGCAGTTGCTTGTATAGGGCCGGACTAACCGCCGCCGATAAGAGAAGACAACCATATTTGTGCTTCCAACAAGTACTTAAATTAACTTAATTGAGTGAGTGATGATATGTGATATTAAGCTCTGCACGTGATTAGCGCGTTCCAGTACTCTTGGCACCGCTAGGGCTTCTGATTTCAACATCAACAATCTTCGTTGCTATTAAGAGGAATCGCCAAAACAAACGGCAATTCAACACACTACCACCAGGCATGGCTACAACCGATCCTCCTCATATTTCGACGGCCTCGCTCTTCAGCTCTTTGCTAGAACAGTCTCGTAAACTTCGGCAAGAAACAGAAACTGCCGACCTGCCACCTATTGAGCTTGGCCTAGGAGAGATTGAACGACGCGCCAGAGAGCTAAAGAAATCGACACCAGGGCGACAAACAGATGCGCGAGCGTATGTCCAGTTATATTGAAGAGGATATGGCCCACAGACTAACTAGAGCACTGCTATAGACGGTATTTACTGCGGGCCGCAGGAATCGATGCGGACCAAAACCTTAGGGATCTGGAGGCAATCGATTTTCAGGCAGCCTACGAACCTTCTATGCCAGTAGACACTGACATCAACGTCTGTCCACCTTTCCGGCGGCTACTCCGGAATTGCATTTACTTACATGGAAGACACAGGCCTACCTCCGCTCCCGAAAAGACCAGAACATCGCCTCGTCGATCGAAGAGGGTATGCGCCGCACCGCCCCGTGATTTCGATTCCTTCGTCGCCAAAAACGTCACTACAGAGTGGGAAGCACAGAAGCAACGAATATTTGAACACTTCGGCCTCGCACCTAAGTCGTCGCCTGCGCCTGGTAATGGAGATGCTTTTAGCGGCGGGATGAGCGCTTTTGGCGCATCATCCTTTGGTCGATCACGACTTGGTGGTTCTGTCGGTCCTGGCGGTAGTCTGGGCACAAATAGCGTATGGGCAAAATCGAACATGGGAGGAAGCGTACTTGGAAAATCGGTCGCTACTAGACCAGCGGAGGCATCTGCAACTAGGTACCAAGGGAATTTATTTACGGATGTGGATTCCTCTATGCAGGTAGAGCTTTCACGGCAGGTTCAACAGAGGCAGCAACGCTTTTCACAGGCAGTAAAGCAGTTGAACGACACGCGCTTGGTTGCGGATCCGGGATCGGGGAGCTTTCCCCTCATGAAGGCATTTGGTGAAATTACCGGTGCTTCAGGAAAGGACATGGTAAGTCTAGTGTTTAGGTATACCACCTTTGGACCGCGCAAGCTGACAACACGCGGACAGTTGACATTACAACTTCAAGACTCTTGGAAATTGCTGGCAAGCGTGGTTGGCGAGACGGAGAGTGGAGAAAGTAACCCCTTTGGAGGTGCGCAAGAACGACAATTTGTGCGAGATTACATCCTAAACACTGCGGGCGATAGCCAAGAGGCGGCTAGAATCCGTAAGCGGATTGAAAAGGGTTCCAGGAGGTTTTTGGAGAAGCAGTGAGTAAATGAATCCCAATCGACGCCCTTCTGGCAATACTGACCAGCATACTAGGTTTAATGAGGTGATTGATAAAACAATCGCCGAAAACCCGCAGATAGCAAGAGTGGGAGGTGTACCATCAGTTCTGAACAAGTTCCGTGGTTTCATCAACGTAAAGATGGCACAGAACAGAGAAAAGCCAGACTGGGACCCCAAAGGCTTCGAGTGTATTAACGAAATACCTTGTTGGGCTATGGTCTTCTATCTCATACGTGCTGGCCTACTTAAGGAGGCGGACAGCTACGTACGACACAATCAACCACAGTTCCAAAAATTGGATCGTGGCTTTGCAACATATTTACATGCGTATACTGCTCACGAAGACCGTCGCTTATCGCGACAACTCCATGACCGCATCCAAGGAGAGTACAACAACCGTATCCGCCACATGGAGGATTGCAAGGACCCCTTCAAACCGGCAGTGTATAAGATCATTGGACGATGTGAACTTGCAAAACGGTCTCTTCCGAATGTGATGCCCACGGCTGAAGACTGGATGTGGTTACAACTTGTACTTTCCAGGGAAATTGACCGGACGAGTGAACCAGCTCATGAGGTCTTTACTCTAGAAGATCTTCAGAAGAGTGTCACTCAGTTTGGCGCAAAGCATTTTATGGCCAAGGGTAGTAACTTTGGCCTGTATTTCCAAATGTTGCTTATGTGTGGATTATTTGAAGATGTGGGTTTTAGATTTATTTCGTCTGTCATATCCGTGTTGCTGACCTTGAGGTTAGGCCGTTCGCTATCTATACTCATTCCATTTTGTCGATGGCGTGCATTTTGCCATCGCACTCACATGTTATGGTCTATTGAGGCCGACAGATAACCCACTCAAGGCTGACCAAGAGCTCCTAACCCTGGGTGCAAATGGAGAGAAGCAGATCAACTTCCCCCGTTTGATCGGCTACTATACCAACGACTTCCGCACACCAAATGCGGAGGAAGCAGTAGACTATTTGTCCCTCATCTGCCTCAACGGCGACCTTCCGGCGCCAAGCGGTCCCGCTCAGCTCAAGATCTGCCACGAGGCACTTCGGGAGCTAGTTTTGGAGACCAGAGAGTTCACCAAGCTCCTGGGTGACGTACATGCCGATGGAAGCCGACAAAAAGGTGCAATCGAGAAGCGGATGAAGTTGATCAAACTATCAGACCAGTGCGAATTTCTGCGGACAATCACGGAACAGGCAGCTGTACAAGCTGATGACGATGGCCGGGCGGCAGACGCAGTCCTTCTCTACCATTTAGCAGAAGACTACGATACCGTTGTACAGATCCTCAACAAGAACCTGTCTGGTCATATCGCACTGGACGATGGAATAATCGGGTACCAAGGATTGGAGGGTTCATCCGCTCATCTTCCCCCCGATTCAAGTATCTCCCTCGCCTCTGTCGACGACCCTGCACAGCTAGCAAGGAACATGCTCGGCATGTACCAAAATAATCCCAACATCCTGCGAAAGATAAGTCTCCGCAATCGTGAGGCCTGTGGTGTATTGCTGCGGATTTCGGATGCGAAGAAGTACTTTGAGGAAGGGAATTGGGAGGAATGTCTCGCGGTTTGTCATCACCACTTCCTATCGCTTCTCCTCCGAATTTACTAAACAAAATCCTAGATTATCGACCATGTAGACGTAATACCTCTCGACCCCCGCGCAGACATTGGAAATATCCGCCGCCGAGCCCAGAACTTTGGAACCCTCCATGAGACCGTCGCTAGGAACGTCGGTATCGTATTGATGATGGCGGTGGAGTCTTGCAACAGGTTGGGAATGGAGCTGAGAGACAGCGCGTATGCAGATGCGAATAAGGTGCAGAAGCTAGGTGAGCTCAAGGGAAGGACGAAGTCGGCTATGATCTACGCGGGTATGATCCAGTATAAACTCCCCGCGCATGTTTATGCTTTCTTGCACAGTCGGGAGGTAGCAGAGTAGAGTCGGGAAAGTGGATATGGAGGTTGTAATTGTAGCGATCTTTCTGGCTCGGGTTAAAAAGGGGTTTAATGAAAGCCATGACGTTTTGCACGCGGCGGGCATCAAGCAAACAGTGATAGGAACTTCGAATCTCAGCGTAAGGCCGTTGTCCGAAGGCAGCGCGCAGTGTTCAACAAATTACTGGGACTTCATTGATCAGCGGGAGGAGTTTCGCATGTATGGTGCTCAATTTCTGTCAAAATACAAGGCAAAGCCGGCGTGAATTGAAGTTTTGTGTTTCAGTACACCATGCACATAAAATACTGAAACACAAAGCTTCAATTCATGCCGGCGTTGCCCTGTATTTTGACAGAAAGGCTTCCATACGCATGACGCAGTTCAAAAATAAACAAATATTCTACTTCCGAAATGTAAGGTGACACGAGGACAAAAAGATATTCCGTCACGGGGAATCGAACCCCGGTCTGGTCGGATCAATGCTTTCAAATGAGAGCGACCGATGCTAGCCACTACACCATAACGGACTTATATATTAGGTTTAATGTATTACTATTGATATCCCTATTATATTTAATAGTCCTTTCAGTTGTAAATGGACTATCTGGTTGCTATAGACTTCATCTGTCTATGGCCTGGTTTGTCCAAGGCCTTCCAAAAACGTATGGTTCGTACTAGGTTTCAGTCTGATAGGTATATGCGAACGTTGCGAGTCCCGGGGTTCACCTACCCTTCTTTTATCTGCTATGGTTCAGTACGGGTCTGCTTGATGCTTTGCTCAAGGGCTTGACTGGCGCAGGTTAGATGGCTGTTGCCGATAGCAGTGGGGGAAGGGCGGTTTTTTGGGGGCGAATTATAGAGAGGAGAAGGCATATTTCCTTACTCGTGCCTCCTCAAGAATGGGATATGGTCTCGAGTCCAAAGTTTTCGACCCACAAGAGGGTTGACGGCCAATCCGAATGATGGCAATGAAGTAGGTACCGAACGAGAAACTAGATATCATATCAGATACAGACAAGACCCAGAAACGCCAAAAGTCACAATAAACAAACTGCAACCTAACTTCGCCCCTCCCTGTATCAGACATCGTATCTTCATCAACATCATTACTATAGTCGTCCTCTTCTCATTTCCCCTCCTATATCCCAGCCGGCCGACACCAAAAATGAAAACAAAAGCACGCCGCCACGTTTATGAAAGCCCAAGGTATACGCCCACCAGTCTATTGTAATACACCCGCACAACCCCTTGTCCACAAAAAGATGGAGAATCAAGAAATCAGATATATATTAATTTCTTCATTCACTGAAGAGGATATATTGTAAAATATCGCTCAACGTGAGAATCCCTCTCAGGCTGCCGTCCGGTTCCACGACCATGAGTCTGTGAACTCTCGAGCGTCGTATGGTATCAAAGATGGCATCGAGGCTGTCGTTGATGGAGCAAGTGTGAACTCCAGTAAAGTCCTGTAGGTACAATCAGTATCCGTCCATGTCAAGTGACCGGCCGCGGGGGTTTCGCTTACGTCAGGTCGTTTTAAAAGAGCCTCCCCCACGCTCAGCGATAAATCGTGATAGGATCCGTTTTTGATAAGGGTCAAGATGTCGACCGATTCGTAGATATTCAGCAGAATCCCTGCATCAGATCGGTTAGTTTCCCGTGTTATTGCATATTGGGATACGCATGCGTGTATGTAGGGATATAAAATACCGTTGGAATCCACGATGGGCACGCTTGAGATGTCCTTTTGCACCAACATATGAATTACCGTCATAACAGGTGTATTCATCTGCGCAGTCGCTAATTCCTTTTCTGTCACGATTCCAAGCTCACGCAATGGTTTTCGCAACTGCCTTGTCTCGCGTACATTGAAGGCTATGAATTTCAAGATACGAAATTGTGTCAAGACGCTGACAACCATTTCTTGTTGTGTTTCATCGTCTATATCGATGAGCGGAATCCTACGGGCTCTACTACCAAGCATACGCCGGCAGGCTTCGAACAAAGGAACCATAGGATTTACAGACACCGTCTCAATCTGGGTTGCTCCGATTGCCTGCTCGATTTCTACACGCCTATCAGTCATAACCGTGGCTTTGGTTGGGGAAGATATCACCTCTAAGACTATCCAGACGAAACCCATCGATCTGGCTGAGCTTGTCAGGGAATTGCCAGTAATATTGGATTACGTTGATGAAATCGGTTGAGGTGAGTAACCCTGCAAATGCTGATGTTTTCGAGTTCCATAATGGTGCAGAAACAATGCCTGAATTCCCGATATGATCATCAAAGTGCACATCAACAACAAACTCAGGAAAGACTAACCGTTTTGAACAAGGATGAGGAGACTTTTTTTCACCAGAAGCCCCGTGTCGAGGACTATTAGCCGGAAACTAACCGGTAGAACATCGTAGCTGGTTCTGATCTTGAGAAACTCCCTAATAGCATTCTGAAGAGAAGGTCAGCGCAAGAACTACGCCACCAGAATACGTGTGTGAATACCAAGCCCTCAGCCTGTTCTCTATCGATAGCGCTCAGAGGTTCCGCCGGAGGTGGAGAAGGTGAGCGTCGAGGTCGGAGATAAGACGACGGCCTCACAGGGCTGGGCGGACGAGCGGGACCTGGTTCAGACATTTATATTGACGGGCGGGAAGAGTTGAGTCGCATTGAATGGGTGTGTTCGGCGCGACTTGTAGAACAATGAGCGGACGAGGGTTGAGATATTGTTCTGCTGGAATTCGAGAGGACAGTCGGGTGGCTCTGGGATTCGGGCAAGTGAAAGTGGGGGCGGCGATCAAGTCTGGAGTTCGATTGTGGAGGGATAATGACGCAGGATGGCTGGTGTCGATCTAGTTGTCGCGAATAAATAATCCCGAAAAGTACTTTTTGGCGGGGTCATAGTTGCACTGTTTATATGTACTAGTACCGCAGTTGCAGCCCAGCTACGAGACACCACGATTAGCGGCGAGCGTCCCATTCACATTCGTACCAACCCAACCACGCCACCGCCATAGAGGCGCCCGGAGAAGACAAACTCAGAACTTCGGACATCTTGCACCGAAATCCAGGTCTAGCTCCTCTCGTTACAAAAGAAAGTTTATTCTACCTAACGATGTGGCTTCTCTCATCACAAAAGTTTACTATACCCAACGATGTCGCTACAAAATTCAGCCGCTTTCTCGACTTTTTCGTCGACAAACAGGATCATGCGACAAAAGTCAGGATCATGCGGCGGAAAATGTACGGATTATTTTCTAAAAAAAAAAATATGACTTCGGTTTGCACATATGAGGGGGCAGTTACAGATTAGTTGCAGCTGGTTCACGCCGCCATGACGATCTGCAAGGACGATAAAAGGCGGTCGGTTTTCAGATTCACATCTACAGTGAACGTATAGTACTACTCTTAAGTAACAGTAAGATAAACGGCTGGACTTCTGCTAAGCTCTCTAACGAACGATATACAGTCTGCCGAGCATCATCCATTCTTGGTCACTCGGTCACTGAGTATAACTCGAGCAATTGAACAGTGATCTAATCACCAACATAGAGGAAAAATAGCAGTGTTTTTGTGCTAAACAATGGCATAATCTATGTGCCATGGGGCCATCCGGGGTATGGGCATATACACGCTTCCGGCAGCCCTCCATTGGCCCTCCTCGACGACATTCTCAAATCTCCTCCCTTCTCCGAGTATCTTGAAAGTTTTCTCGAAATTCATGTCTCTCCAGTTCCTTATAAGTGTATTCCCTCCCTTTCCACAACCTCTCTCCGTTCCTCGTCTTTATCGGTATGCCAATGCAACCCAAGGATCTATAAGATATCCTGCCATATATTCTAATGTCACCTCCGGTCGTTTCATATTCCCATGTCACTTACCGGCTACACTGGTATTTGAATACCACCGGTTGTTTGAGCCGGCGTAGTTCCCTTTGGATGTATCGTACCAAGTACATACGATGGTTCGGACATCAGTAACAGAAGCCCTGTTCAAATTAAAGAGGTTTATTGAGGATTCTACCCACCCTGGGGCATTCGGTATTGAAAAAAAATCCACCAAAGTAAAAAAATACCATTCAAAACCATCATACCCAATACAGTATTCAATTTCACCTATATTAAACAACTCGTGAGGCCGACACATCTGGTGCATGGGAGACGGGATTCCGGGATGATGGGGTGTTATCATGATAAAGGTGTGCTGATTGGTATCCCCGATGCAGAGGGGGGTCCAGGATGTTCATGGGTGTGGCAAGCAAAGGAAGAGTATGAGAGTGGTGGAGTACCGGTAAGCGGGAATTGTGAGCGACGCGAAGATTGGGAGGTCGAAGCATCGACAGATAGATACCTTCCTAATATTCTTTGTCGTGAGCTTCATTCAGTTGATTATTTGTTGCGAGGAGTTACCTGAAGTAACCGCAGTCAAGCCTTAAAGTTGGTTGGATAAAAGCTTGGGCAAGGAATACCAGTATGGTACTTTTCTCGTTCTAGCACTGTAAGTACTTAAGTATCTAATGCAATGCACGATGTCACCCCTTTACATAAAACGCTGAGTCTAATTCGAAATCGAACGAAGCGCTTCAGTCGGTAGATTAAAATCAAACAGATCTAGATTCTAGAGCACTAAAGATTCTAGGCGAATTAGATTCCTAGTCCACAGTTTGAAATCGCAGGGTTCAAACATGTTACGGGCGTTTGGCACCCCTCTGAAAGGCCGTTTTTCGATTCTGGTTGATATTTGAACCCGAGGAATTGGTTGAGCGGCGCTGCAGTGTGTTTGGAGTGGTATAAGCTCACAATTATCTCTGAGGCCTTTCAACTTTATGCCATCATAGCTGCAACTGTGTGGCCATCAACCAATCCTTCATACCCTCTAGGTGCATAATCCTGTATTGCCTAATTGAGCGTAGACACTTAAAGAGACTTTTGGGAGCGGTGCTAAACGCCTCATTCCAACTGTTGATACCTGACAGAAACTCCGTAGAGGATCCGGAGTGTATCATAGCCCACAACGCAGCCCTTGCGACCCTAGATCTCTATGTCCATATGTAGGCACTTAAGCAGTATAAAAGGCTTGCTGGAAGGGAATATCCGTTATCCGTTCGTATCTGGTGAGTTTGCTTCTGTTGAGTGGCCTGTGTGTATACACAATGACCATTTATGTACGCATAAAGACCCTACATCTCACATGCACGTCTGTCCACGCTTACCGATGAGTTATTGGATTGATGCACAATAAGCCAAACCAAAGGAAGACCCGCGGTATATTCGGCAGTATTTGATGTGGCGGTCTGGACGGAAGCAGTCTGGTCTAGCCGTTCAGACTCCGTCCTCAGCTCTGGGGGCGGTGGCAAGTGGTTAGGACGCAAATTTTCTGGAATCCGGTTTATTGGACTTGTGGGGGCGGACTTCATCCACTTGAGATATCACTCCAATGAATGGAATTACAATTCTGCAATCTAATACACCTAGAAATGCTGGCATCAAGATGCATGGGTGAGAAAGTAAACTGTGAGCTGTACTTCACG